AGCATAATCATTGAGGCAGAGGGCAGGATTTTCTCAGGCCACTGCAGATGGGCTTGGTCGGGGAGTGGGATGAGGAAGTCCCACATATTGGCATGAGCTCTTCCAGCTTTCCCTGGGTCAGCATTGAAAACCAGATGCAAACTCATTCATATCTGTTGGTAAGTATTTAAAATTGTTATAGAGAGTTGCTTTAAAGTTGAATTCTAGATTTACCATTCATGGAATCTGTTACCTGTCATTTCCAAATTGCCAGACTCTCTGAGGTCTGTACACAACGGGAAAAGTTTCTTCATTGAGACTGACAAGCTGGGAAGGTTTTCATCCATTGACACTGATGAGTTCTAACCATGGCCATTGAGAGACTGCTGATTGAAGGTCTTCTCTCATTCACTGCTTCACACGCGATTATTGACTTCTTGGAAGTCATTCCACTGCCTATCACTTTACTCCTTTCAGTTACACTTCCCTGTGGCCACCCTTCAATACAGCAAAACAGCAGGTTGTGCAGCTCCGCCATCCGCTTGTGCTGAGGAGAAGGAGTTGCAGCACCAACACCAGCTCCAGCAGTCAGAGAAGCATCACTAGCAACATAAGTAGTTGCTTTCCCCTCAGCTCACAGGGGCAAATAGGATAGATACTGGAAGGAGGCATGACCCCCAGCATAATACTTACTATTTCTGGATGCTGGACTTAAGAATTCCCTCCCACATGGAAAATGTATTTGTGGTGTTGCTTATGATAGGCAAGTAAAATCTGCAAAGTGCAAAGTTTGTATTTTGTCCAATCTCCCCTCATGATATTTCACAGAGAAAATCAAAATTAAGTTTAGTCTTTGGATGAAGCCTTCAGGGTTTCAAGAGCAGGGGATTTTGGAGTAGGTTGCGTAGAAACAGTTTAACTCTTTCTTAAAATATAGTCTATCCTCATACAATACTTTGATTTGATTTTGTCATTAATGGTTAAAATTATCATAGCTTACAAGAATATATAAAACAGTAAAATAGAGCTGGCCAAGCTATCCAGGCGGTTCAGCCTGAAGAACCAGGAGATTAAGGTGGAACAAGCCATGGAAATATTCACAAACAAGCACGCAGATGTTGAATTCTGTATGTAAAGATGGAAGCCAATGCAAGTTGTTAAGTGCAAGTTGGAAGTAAAGGAATTAGTGTGGGATAGGATGTTGGTGTTAGAATGGGAGTTTGTGTAGAGTGGAATTCAGGAGACTGTTTGGGAAGGTGCCTGATTTGGAAAAGGGAAGTATGGCGATTTATAAGTATGGGTATGCTTTACAGCTGCAGTGGAATGAAATAAAAATGGAGGCAGGTGACATTGCAGAGGTGGAAGTTTAAGTAATCGTGGTGATTGATGGTTAGAATTTAGGTTAGATCAGAAAACCACCATTGGGTTAACCCTTGCAGAGTACTCATAGAGAGATATAGTAGTAGAGTATTGAGGCATAAAACGTTTTGAGATGACCCAAACTGGATGGCTCCTGTCTTCTGGGTATTAACCCTAGTAAATGACAGAGTGTCTACCCTGGTTAAAATAAATTGAGCTAACATTTTTGACCATTAGACCAACATTAGTATTGCATTCCGGGGCTGTCATAGTCTTTCCTTCTGAAAGCTTTTTCCCTCTGTGGTTGCAAAATACAGTTTCATTCTAATTTCCCTTTAGTCTCCAAATTCCTGGAATGGTGGATCCGTGCCACAGTTAGACTGGTGAATGATACACCTGGTAGATTTGCTGCCATTGGTTCCTTTAAGGTTGGATTTAAAGGGCCTGACTGGTTTGGTGCAATAGAGGAAAGATAGAGGCTATCTTTTGTGCAACTCCTCTCCTGAATATCCCTTTCCACCCTGCAGCAGAATGGAAATGATTTGAATCAGTCAAAAAATGACATATTCTATGACTGTAAACATGGTGCATTATCTTCCTTAGCATTCTGTCTAGTCTTTTACATGGTTGATTACATGTTCTCACCCAATGCCTCTCTGCCACTGTAGATCTCAATAGCAATTAGGGTTGCCCTGATTTGGCTGTACACTTATGTATCCTGCATTAGTTCCTTCTCACCAATCACACCACGCATATTGACCTACATTGGCAGGTCCCCAACACCTCAAGTTTAAAAAACTCATCCCGTTTTAAAAATCCCTTCGCAACATTACTCTATCCTACTTTACCACCTCCATTCATACATCCCTTCCCTATTTCATTGTTCCTCTGACTCTGGTTTTATGTGACTTCTCTCCCATTCCCTCATCATTGACAGCTATGTCTTCCTTCAACTAACTAGGTCCACAATCTGGAATTCACTTTCTAAATTCATCTTTTTCTTCCCTTAAGACACTTCTTAAAACCGAGCTCTCTGACTGAGCTTTTGGTTATTTGTCTGAATTTAGCCTACATTGGCTCTGTGCCCATCCTTTTGGTTACCCCCGTATGAAGTACCTTGGGAATGTTTTATGATATTGAAAGAGGGCAGAATGTTGACAAAATAGATATTGGGAGAGATCTTGGGGGAGGTGTTCCGACAAAGAATATCAAAGGAGAAGGTATTCTGGGCAGTGTCACTCGTGAATTCTGGGAGAAAGATCTTGCTTTGTGCTCATCTGACTAAGCACCATCAATTACACACCCTGTATTGCCTGCTTACTCCCAACCGAATACCCACTGAGGTGCTGTCTTTTTGTGAATTTAGTGAGAACATTGCGTTGAGGGACCCATGGAGTACAAGGAAGCTAGAAGAGTGTGGAGTGAATGATAACGTATTGGCTTCCCAGTGGAGGTTGACAGGAAAACTGCCTATGGCTTTCAAGTCATTTGCTACAGATCCAATAGTTAGTGGCCTGAGAAAATGTTATTGTGAAACATGATATATGGAAATAAATTTACATTTTGCTGACTTTCCATTAAATAATTTATAATTATTGGTCCAGAATATTACTAGGCATGTTGAGAGTATGCAATTCGTTTCTTACATAGAAGAACAACAAGTCTGCAAGTACTTTTCTGCAAATCACCATCAATTTACAAGAAATCAAAGTCACAGCTAGTGCAGTGGCATCTCCTTCCTGTTGATAGTCACAATTATCAGAAGTGTTAATACTGCCTACAGAGTCTAGAGTTGGCTGTTGAAGATATGCACAGATTCCAAGATGCTCAACACAGCATTATGAAACAAAATTTGACACTGAACAAAATAAAGAAATATTACGGTAAGTGACCAAAATTTTGGTCAAAGAGTAAGATTTTAAGGAGCATTTTAAAGGAGAAAGAAAGGTTGAGAAGCAGAGTGATGTAGAGAGGGAATTCCAGAGCTTGGGTGAGTGAGACTTGTTGTAAGTTAAGACATGGGTATCAGAGGTTCAGATGATTCCAAAATTACATAAGGTAGAATATTGGAGATGGGCAGGACAGCATTCGAATAGTCAATTCAGCAATGGCAGAGCTGAGGAAGGGATAGAGTACAGACATATCACAGAGGTAGAAATAGGTGGTCTTAACCATGTACATATATGTGCTTGAAATTTCATCTTCGAGGCAGGTAAAATACTGAGTTGTGAACAGACTGTTTTAGCTTCATGATGTTGTCAGAATTGGTGGCTAGGGGCAGAGATTTAGGTAGTGAGAAGATGGTGGTTTTAGTCTCCCCATATTTAATTGGAGAAAATTTCTGAAATCTGTACCATAATTCTTACATCCTCACCTCTGTTCTACATGTTTTTGGATGATTACTATGTAAACTTGTGATATATCTATTATTGTTAAATATTTTCTTAGCTTTCTGCTTTCAAGCTCATCCTTATCTTAGCCTGCTGTTATGCTGTGGCTTAAATATCTCAAAATAAAACATCTCAACCAGCAGCTACAGAATCCAATCACAACTGATAACCACTTGTTTAAGTATCACTATACCTTTGATGCCGATATGTGGAAAAATATTCCCATTCTCCCCATCCCTCTGCCAGCCTATTCCAAGCAGAAATAGATGATGAGTAACAAGTAGTGTTGGCAAAATGATCTGAAGTTTTAACAAAAAGATGTGTTTTGGTGAAAGCAGAATGATGCAGCAAGGCATGTGCATTTAGGAAGTGAGATCCAGTGTAGGCCAGAGGCTCAGAGAGATCAAACATCCTACCTTGGCATTTGCAGAATTTAAACTCAGTTAATTAAAATGAACATGGAATAGAAGGCTTGTACGGGACCATCAAACTATTACATTGTCATAAAAACTCAACAGGTTCATAAATGTACTTTTAGAAAAGAAGTATATTGACCTGGTCTGGCCGAGGTGTTGTTCCAGACCCAAAGCAATGTAATAGACTCATAACCACCTTCAGGTATGGGCAAGCCAGTTATCTTAAAAGCATTGCGAAATGATAAATAATCCATTGGCAGTGATTCAGAAATGAGGCCAAACATCATCTAAACAAAAACAACTAATATGCACATTAAATTCTAGCTTTGCCAACATCACCATATCCTCTGAAGGAATTAAAAAAAACATAGTTTGATGTAGGTAGCAATGTCTCATTGCAGGTTATAGCTCCTGAATCCCAGATTTCCTCTCTCTCATGAACTCCGTTTCACTCTCTGTTCTCTCCTCAAACGGATTGTTTGATTCCCCTAGAGGTGGATATATTTATGTCGATGCTTGCAGCAGATGAAGTGCGTGACATTATGTTCTAAAGTGTTTTCCTCTGAGGCACTAGAAGCTCAGCCAGGATCTCGGGGAACTCCTAAAGAAATTAAAGATGAGCATATGTTAAGAAGCTGCATGCAAAATACCCTTCAGATACTGCTAACACGGCTTAATATTGTAGCCACAGTACAATGCTTTAATGTATATCTGCAAGAGTAAGTGAGTGAGAGAAAAACAGGAAAAGGATATTATTAGCTGTGAGCTTAGGGAGGGCTCCAACTTCGCCCTGCATCATTCTCTCTATCAAAACGCAGTGTGAACTTCTGAAGTGCAGCTCACTGCCTCCAGTTGGCTATCGTTTTGCCCTGCCAGGAGAAGTCATGTGGAAATGTTGGAAGTTTGAAGAGCACCTACTGTGACACTCGAGTTCACGTGAGTAAACATGCAATTTGGAGCTATATTTTTCAACAAGTGTATTTTATAGACTCACCTTTACTATTGCTGTTATTCCAAGAGTTCCAGTGATAATTGCTACTAGAAAATTTACCATGAAATGGAAGGAAATGCAGGGGTGGGCAAGTGCTTTCATATTTCGTCTCAGCCAAGCTGAGAGGGAAGTCCGTGGTGTTTGCATGTGATACAAGAAAGTGATGGGTAGTCTTTGCAGGTTTTCTAAAACTGTCATCTATCTTCCCCATCTGCTACATTCGCTGAAAGCAGGACTCAGCCCTGTGTCTGTGAACGTCTGGGTCACCTTAAAGTCACAAAGCTGTACTGTGGGGATGAACCCTCAACATTAATAGGACAATTCATCTTTGGCGGACCAGCTCCTGAAGGAGCACTCCCACAGCTCTACTCTTGCATGACAAGGTTCGTAATGGAAAGCCTGTGTTTATTGGCAACACCATCACTAGGACTATTGCAGTGTGAAAGGTGAGACAGTTGTGCCAGACTGAATGTGACCGAATATGACTGTGTCTGTTGCACAAAGATTTGTTCTGAGGAGAGAACAAGTAACCAGGTCACAAAAATTCCTTGCATTAAGTTTTAAACTAGTTGTAGAATCCAAGAAAAGACAGCAACAGTAATAATCAGAATTACTTTGCAAATCAGCCCTTCTGTTAAATAGCTGCTGAGTTATCATATTAACATTATACTGTATCTGTATAGAGACCTGAATCTTACAATGAATTTAACATTTAATTAATCCTGTCCAAACATCAAGGATGCAACTGCATATGTACTGATGGATTAGAGTGGTCAGTTTTGCATTGGGAACATACACAGCACTATGCAATACTGAAAACAAAAAATGCTGGAGATTACAGTGGGTCAGGCAGCATCAATGGAGAGAAAGCAAGCAAATGTTTCAAGCCTAGATGACTCTTCATCAGAGCTGATGTGAAGTGTGCAGGGTGCAGTACTTATGCAATAGTCTGGGGGGTGCTGGAGTGCTGGCGGAGAAAGGATGTTGATAGTTCAGATTAAGTGATCAAAATGTGAGAATGGCAGAACAATGGCGTATCTTTATGGAATACTGTACCTTTTTCTCCTTGTCATGGATACTTATTGACCACTGATCTTCCCACTGGCACCAAAACATAGTTCTGCTTTAACTAACAGATGGGCAAATTTCCAACTATATTACCTTCCCCTTGCCCATACTCCTGTCCCTGTCACTAAATCACCAATTCAGTGTTCTGCTAGTGATAAACCATTCAGGTTTAGAATTTATATGAAATATACCTTTGAGATTGAAGACTCAGTGAAATACCACCCACAAGTATAATGAGGCTAATTCTAGAGATAAGAAGAAAGAATTCCCATTTATGTAATTTCATGACCTCAGGATATCCTGAAGTGCTTTACAATCAATTAAAGTTAAAACAGTCATTGTTGGAAAGTAGGAATCCCATAGCATCTAAATTAGCACAGCAAGATTCCACAAACTACCACTGGCATTAGTTGAGAGATAATTGTTGGACAGGGCACCAGGCGAACTCCCCTGCCATGAAATGGTTACCTGGGAAGGGAGAAGGGAGTAGTGGTGTAATATCTCACTCAAAGGACTGCGCTACATGGAGTTCAGCATTCCTTCAGAACTAAAGAGTCAGCCTACATTGTGTGCTTACGTCCTTGGAGTGGGACTTAAACTCACCATCACTCCGATGCAAAGATTTTTTTGTTATACTTTCATGGGGATGGAGGCATTATTACAAAGGCCAGCATCTGTTACAGTAACCAATATTGAGAGGATGGTAGCGAGCTGTCTCCTTAAAGCACAGCAGTACATCTGGAACAGGTATACCAAAGGTGCAGTTCCAGGATTTTGACCCGATAACAGTGAAACATCAAAGATACACTTCCGAGTCTGAATGACGTGTGGCTTAGAGGGGAACTTGCAGACAGTAAGCAACCGCAGCCTTGATGTTTGGGGTGGATGAGGTTATAGGTTTGAAAGATGCTATGTTTTGGTTTATTTTTCTGTGTTTTAAGATGGCGGCGGAGAGTGGAGACTTTATGCAACACCTTTCACTGTATTTTGTAACAAAATACAAGCGACGATAAATAAATCAAAATCAAATCAAATAAATCAAATGCTATTGAAGAAGTGTTGATGAATTGCTGCAGTGTGTCTGACAAATAATGCACACTGCTGTTACTGTACATTGGGAGTGGAGGGAGTGAATGTTGATGGTATTAGATAGAGTGCCAAATTGCACTGTTTTGTCTTTGATGGTGTCAAGCTTCTTGATTATTGTTGAAACTGCATTCATCCAGGCAGGAGGGGTGTATTCCATCACACTTCTGACTTGAGCCCTCTTAGAACTATATGTGTGGAGTCAGGGGGTGTATTGCTTGAGCATCTGGCCTGGCTTTATAGCCACTGGCTGGTGCAGTTCAGTTTTTAGTCAATTATAACCCCAGGCTGCTGATAATTGGGGTTCAGTGATGGTAATACCATTGAATGTTAAGGAATAATTAGTTTCTTGCCTGTGCTACTGCTAAACCAATCTCAGGTTAGTTGGCAAGATATAATGGGGATCAGGAGGAGGCACTTTTGTAATGGCAATGTCACTGGATCAGTATTCCAGAATTCCATTACTAATGAAGGACTCATGTGGTGCAGTGGTAATGTCTCTACCTTGGAGCTAGGAGGCCTGGATGGAAGTCCCGCTTGCTCCAGAATATCCTGTCAGAATAGGTTAATTAAAACATCAATAGTGGGCGTCGGCATTCCCAATGTATGGAAGTACAATATTTGCAGTGCCAGCCCAGAGCCTAGTTTTAGGGTCTTCTTCTATGTCCTTTTCCCAGGGCCACACGACAGACCAGGTTATCACATAGGCTCCTTTCATCATAGCCAACCCATTTTCACCTACTGATGGTCCCTGTTATCAGCTTTTCTTTCTTCCACTCCCATTTTCGAACCCTTTGTCCAATAGGTGTTCTTTCTGTCTGAGCTGCACCTTCACTTATTGTTTACTCCTTTACCAAAAGAGTCCCCCCACTCCCGTCTTCAGCATACATACCGTTTTTCCCTAGCTTCAATCAGCTCTGCAGAAGGGTCACTGGATCCGAAATGTTAGCTCTGCTTTCCCTCTCCACGGATGCTGCCAGACCTGCCGAGTTTCTTCAGAAATATCTGTTTTTGTTTCAAATCTGTTGCATTGTTCAGTACCTTGCTGTGTGATTAATTTTAATTATTCAAAGGCGTACTGGTGAAGGGACCTCCACTTTGAAGCTCCATGTAATATGGAAACTTACAGCATAGCAATAGGCTATTTGGCCCATCGTTCCTCTGCTAGAGCATTCCAATAGTCTCAGGCTATTGTCCCCTTTGTCCTGCAGTTCCCTCCTGTTCAAGTATTTACCTAATTCCCTTCAAAAGTTACTGTTGGATCTGCTTCCACTACTCCCTATCAGGCACGGTATCTCGATGATAAAAATGTGATTAATGCTCCGTACTTTTCTATTTATTCCTCCTTTGTGGTTGACAGCTGGTTGTCTCCCTCTCTCTCTCTCTCTCTAGATCTTCCCAGTGTGCTGCCGTTCAGAGCAGAGCTGTCCCCAGCCAGCTTATTGATGGCTTCATCAGGCACCATCCTCCAGAGGGGCTACAGTCACACAGCCAGTGAGTGTCGAGCTATGTTCAACCAAAGCGCCGCTGGCCAGCCTGCTGACGGTACTGGATAGAGGGGGAAACTGCTGCTCAAGTGAACGGGCCAATTCGGAGTTTCTAGCCGAGCTCAAGCGCCAGGGATAACGGTGCTCACATTCCTGAGGCAGAACTTCCAACTGCTCGCTCAGCGGCGTGTACTGGAGAAGGTAAGGGGACAGCAATTCTCAGTGGCTAAAACAGGACTTTTTTAAAAGTCCTCAACTGCGATACCACTCTTAAAGAAATCTTTTTTCCAAAAAGAAGCGCCTACATTTTCGCAATAATTTAACGATGTGTTAAGCTGTTATCTTATTTTTGTACTGTCTTGTGTCAGCATTAACTGGGGGCATCTGAACACGAGTCTTTTCCAGGCTAAATGAACTGGGTCAATATTTTCCTTCGTTATCAGTGGCCAACAGGTTGCCCAACACAGCGATGGGAGGGGGGTGGGTGGTATGTGTAGATGAGTCCGGGAAGCGGATTGAATGAGGCATGAGAGTTTAACTGAGCTGCTATTTAATCCTCTATCAGATGCAGTGTTCTTACAGACAGCAGGTACCTCGTCAATATTGAATTTCTCAATTTAAGTCAATTTCACCTGTTCGTCAATGATTTATTGAAAGTGAATCCACAGTCTTTCGGGTTCTGTCCTCAGCCCCGACCACTAAAGTGCTAGTCTATGAAATCTGATTTCACCGGATAGTATGCCTTTAGTTCAGCCTGGGGCAGTTTCTGCTGGATTTTGGGGCAACTTGTAAGTAAAAAAAAATTTTATTTGAGTCGTGCGTTCAGTGAATGTGCTTTCAAAGCATTCCAGAGCTGGTGAAGTCCTTGTTGAAATGGAGGCACTGGTCGTAACATAGGGAATGGGACAGGCAACTTGACCGCGGTAAACTCCATAAACCTGACTGTGATATAATGCCCAATTTTTGCGAGGTGGTTTGAAGGGGAAATGTTGGCCAGGACATCGGAGAGAACTGACTTGCTGTTCCTTGAAATAGTATCCTGACTCTTAAAGAGAGTACAGCTGAGAGTACAGAAAGGTCTGAGATCTATTCTCTTTTCGAAAGGAAGGGACCTCCAACAGTGCAGCATTCCCGTAATACTGCAGTGGAGTGGGATTTAGATTTGTGTACATTTAAGTTTTAACAGTTTCTCATACAAAGATGTGACTGAAAAGCAGGGTAGAGATTGAAATGGGACATCTGGGACATGCATAGTCAACACAGTATATAGTGTATCTCCTCAGACATTTAAGGGTTGGGAAATTAGCATGAAACTGAACATAACTATCCATATAAAGCTTTAGCTACAGAGCAGGTCAGAGGCTAGGAATCCTGCAGCAAGTAAGTCACATCTTCACTCCCCAAAACCTGTCCATCATCTACAAGGCGCAAATCAGGAATGTAATGGAATACTCCTCACTTGCCTGGATGAGTGCAGCCCCAACAACACTCAAGAAGCTTGACACCATCCAGAACAAAGCAGCCAACTTGATTGGCACCACATCCACAAATATCCACTCCCTCTACAACTAATGTTCAGTCGCAGCAGTGTGTACTATCTACAAGATGCACTGTGAAAATTCACCAAGGCTGCTTAGACAGCATCTTCCAAACACTCAACTAGGGCAGCAGATACACAGGAACACTGTGTTGTGCAAGTTCCTCTCCAACCCACTTACAATATTGATTTGGAAACATACTGTTGTTCTTTCAGTGTTGCTCAGTCCAAAACTGGAACACCCCCTCTAATAGCATTGTGGGTTTATCTACAGCACATAGACTTCAATGGTTCAAGAAAACAGTTCACCACCACCTTCTCATGGGCAACTACAGATGGCAATAAATACTGGCCCAACCAGAGACCCCCAACCCCTTGAAGGAATAAAAATTAAGTATAGGAAAAAATGAGAAGAGGATGACATGAAGGATGTCAATTCATAGAATCCCTACAGTGTGAAAGTAGGCCATTCACCCCATCGAGTCCACACTGACCCTCTGAAGAGCACCCTACCCAGACCCACCCCCCTACCCTATCCATGTGTTTCCAATGGCTAATCCACCTAGCCTGCACATCCTTGGACACTATAGGCAATTTAGCATGGTTATTCCACCTAACCTTCACATCTTTGGACTGTGTGAGGAAACCCACACAGACACTGGGAGAATGTGCAAACTCCGCACAGACAGTTGTACAAGCCTAGAATTGAACCCAGGTCCCTGGTGCTGTGAGGCAGCAGTACTCACCACTGTGTCACTCAGTATCAAATCAGAAAAAAAAAACAATAAAGAGAGGGAATCATTTGGATTTAGATAGAGAAAGTAAGACAGAAGGAATAAGGAAAACAAATAAAAAAAGTTTAAAATTTGGACTGGCTATCATGAACACTTATCACATTGTGAAAATAATAATTACTAAAATTAATTTTGTTTGGTGAGCTTGATGGGCAATTAATGTACAAATGCAACAAAGTCATGAAAGCAAAGGGAGGTTAGTGGAAAATGCCATTTTCCTGAATTTGGCAGGAGAATAGATTGGAATACAGGAAGTGTAACTCTGAGATTGAATAAAGGATGGAGACAGAAAGCAGGAAACTACAGGCTAGTTAACCTAACATCTGTCGAAGGTAAATACTGGAATATATTGTTAAGGGGATTACAGCAGGGAACTTAGAAAGCCTTAATGCAATGCAGAGTCAACATGGTTCATGAAAAGGAAACCACGTTTGACAATTTGTTGGAATTGTTTGAGGAAGTAACAAGCAACATGGATAAAGAAGAACCTGAAGATCTAGGGTAATTAAATTTCAGTAAGACGTGAAAAGGTGCCACATCAAAGACTGCTAAACAAATTAAGAGCTCATGGTGTTAGGGGTAACAAATCAGCATGCATAGAGAATTAGTAAGCTAGCAGGAAACAGCAGGTAAGGAAAAATGTGTCATTCTCAGGTTGTGACAAGTGGAATGCTGGGGCCTTAACTATTTCCATTCTAGATCAATGACTTGGAGGAAGGAAGTAAAGGTATGATTACTTAATTTGCTAATGATAGAACGATAGGCAGGAAGGTAAGTTGTGAAGAGGACATAAGGACGCTACAAAGAGATACAGATAAGTTAAGTGAGTAAGCAAAGATATGGCACGTGAAGAATGCGGTGGAAAAATGTGAAATTGCTCATTTTTGTAGGCAGAATAAAAACAAAGCATACTTTCTAAATGATGAGGAATTGCAGAGCTGCTAAATCCAGAAGGTGCCAGGTGTCCCAGCACTGAATGCTAAAATGTTAGTGTGCAGGTACAGCAAGTAATTAGAAAGGCAAGGGAATGCTGATGCTTATTGTAAGTGGAATGAACTATAAAAGTATGGAAATTCTGCGACAGTTGTACATGGCATGGGTAAGACCACATCCAGGGAACTCTGTATATTTTTGATTGCCTAATTTGAGAAAGGACTTAACTGCATTAGAAGCAGTACAGAGAAGGATTACCTGGCTGATCCCTGGGATACTGGTGTAATCTTATGAGGAAAGGTCGGATAGGTTGGGCATGTATCTGTTGGAGTTTACAAGGATGAGAGTTGATCTTTTGATACATATAAAATCCTGAAGGGAGTTGATAGGGTGGACACTGACACAATATTTCTCCTCATGGGAGAAGCTAGAACTAGGGACCACTGTTTAAAAATAAAGAGTCTCCCATATAAGACGGATAAAAGGGGAAATATTTTCTCTCAGATGGTATTGAGTGTGTAGACTCTTCCCCACTGAGTGTTAGAGGGAGTGTCATTAAATATTTTTCAGGCATGTGTTAGATAGATCCTTGGTGGCGTGTGTGTGTGTGTGTGTGTGTGTGTGTGTGTGTGTGTGTGTGTGTGTGTGTATATGTGGTGTGTGTGTGTGTATGTGGTATGCGTGTGTGTATGTGGTGTGCGTGTGTATATGTGGTGTGTGTGTGTGTATATGTGGTGTGTGTGTGTGTGTGGTGTGTGTGTGTGCGCGCGTATGTGTGTGTGTGGGGGGGGGGGGGGGGGGGGGGGGGGTGGGGGGGGGGGTAGGGGGGGTGGTGGTGGTAGATGGCCACTAGATGTCCCAGTACACTTTACAGCAATTAATTACATTTGAATTGTGATCAATGTTGTAATATAGGAAACGTTACAGATAATATGTGCCCAGTAAGTGTCAGCAAGCATAATGATGAACAGATAATTTGTCTTTCAGGGATGTTGATTGAGCGATTAATGTCATGACACCAGGGTTAGCCTCTCTCTTCTTCCTGATATGCTATCCTGGGATTTTTTACACCTACCTTAGACAGATAAGAAGGAAACTTTGCTTAACATCTTACCTGAAGGACAACACCTCTGACTGTGCAGCGTTCCCCAACTACTGCACTGGAGTGTCAATCTCTGTGGTCAAGCCTTGATGTGAGACCTGAAATCAGAAGCTCTAACACAGAGCCAATATTGTCATTTATTGGTGCTGAAGAAGGTATATGGCATGCTTGCCTTTATTAGTCAAAGAATTGAGTACAAGAGTCAGGATGTCATGTTGCAGCTTTATAAGAGTTTGGTTAGGCCACATTTAGAGAACTGTGTTCAGTTTTCGTTGCCATATTAAAGGAAGGATGTAGAGGTTTGGAGAGTGTGCAGAAGAGGTTTACCAGGATGCTGCCTGGAGTAGAGGGGTATGACATATAAGGAGAGGCTAGAAAAACTCAGGTTGTTTTCTCTGGAGTGGTGGAGCCTGAGGGGAGACTTGATAGAAGTCTATAAAATTATGAGATGCATAGATAGGGTTGATAGACAGAATCTGTTTCCCAGAGTCGAAATGTCTAATACCAGGGGGCATGCATTTAGGGTAAGAGGGAGAAAGTTCATTGGAGCTATGAGGGGCAAGTTTTTTAAATAGAGAGTGGTAGGAGTCTGGAATGCGCTGACAGGGTGGTGGTGGAGGCTATGAAAACGGAGTTTAAGGGACTTTTAGATAAGCACATGAATATGCAAGGAATGTAGTGATATGGACCAAGGACTGGCATAAGGGATTAGTTTAATTTGGCGTCATGTTTGGCACAACATCATTAGCCAAAGGGCCTGTTCCTGTGCTGTACTGCTCAATACTTTATGTTTATTGCAACCCTGCTGTCATCTAATTCCTCTGTACTGGACCCT